CACACATGGTCAGGGGCTGTGCATGGGAGTGCATGCAGGGCTCCATGGGAAACTCTGGGACACTGTACACTCTTGTACTCCCCCAGTGCTGGGGTTCTCTGGCAGGGCTGAGCTGCTTCATTGCTTTAGGGAAGCCATTTATTTCCTAGGTCTCTGTGCCTAACACTCCTGAGCCCACTACCTGCAGAATGTGGTGATGAATGCTCTTGTAAGGAGATGTGGAGGCACATAGTTGGCAGCTCATAGCAGGGCTCTTCTTTCCAGTGGTGGGTAGAGTCATGTGTAAAAACCATATGAGGTACCCAGTTTTCTCACCTTTGCTATGGGGAAAGTATTTGGGGTAAGAAAGAAAAAAGAAAATTGCCCCCCAAATGGTGTCTCCACCTGTAAGAACCTTTAGTCTATCCATTCCATTTTCTCTCTTAACCTAGCAGACTTAGTTGGAAGCCCATCTCTCTCTCTCTTTCTTTCTCTTTCCCTCTGTCTTTCTCTCTCTCTCTCTTCCCCCCTCCCCTGGCTCCATCTCTCCCTCCCTCTTTCCATCTCTCTTTTCCAGCACACTCCCTCTCCCAGGTTCTGGCTGGGAGTGGGAATGGACCAAGCCCCACAGTGCTAGATGTTTCCTAAATGAAAACTTTGTTCTGGCCCCCAAGAAGCTTGTATCCTCATAGGATGAAAGGGCAATAATTTAAAATCCTACATAGCTGTGGCCAGGTGAACACAGGCTTGCAAGGTCAGAAATTGTGTAGGAAGGGTGAGTGAGAAATAGGAAGACTTGCTCCCAAAGCATTACCTGGATAGGACAGGATTTGGGGTCTTGATCAATCATCTAGATGGTGTCCACTGCTCCTTTTTCCCCTTCTTGGCCAGAGCCCTAAGGTCATCACATGTCTTATCTGGTGTTTACGCCAAACTTCCTCTCTTTCTATGCTCATGGAAACAGTGGCAAGATGGGGGCCTAGGTTAGCCTAGGAATTGAGAGCTCCCTTGGCTATTCTGTACCTGCCGTACCTCAAAGTTGGATCCTAGGTTTCCTTCACTTTTCTGTCAAAAAGCCACAGTTTCACTTCCTGAGTCCCTATGTACAGACCTCAAGTAGTGGAAGGGTTGATTCAAGAGCTTTCTGGAATACTGGGCATGGTATGGATTTTCCTTGTGAAATTCCACCATGGTAGTTCACCACATAGTGGCTCCTGATTCTCTGGAGATAGCTGGGTGCCTAAGGAGATGCTCAGTTTGGTGGAGGAGAGCTTGGGGGCTGGAGTGCTAGGTAGAAAACAAAAATTCATGGGCTGGTTGGGCACGTGGTTCATGCCTGTAATCCCAGCACTTTGGGAGGCTGAGGCAGGTGGATCACCTGAGGTCAGGAGTTCAAGTCTGGCCTGGCCAAAATGGCGAAACTCCATCTCTACTAAAAATACCAAAATTAGCTTGGGGTGGTGGTGCATGCCTGTAATCTCAGCTAGTTGGGAGGCTGAGGCAGGAAAATAATAGCTTGAACCTGGGAGGCAGAGGTTGCAGTGAGCCGAGATTGTGCTGCACTGCAGCCTGGGTGACAGAATGAGTGAGACTCCATAAAAAATAAAATAAAATAAAAAAATCCAGGGGCCAATGATTACTAGTTTCCAAAGAGGAATGGTGACTGAGGGGTCTTGACATTAGAAGTAGATCAGAAGCCAAGGAACTAGTAACTGATCCAAAGAACAAGTAACTGATCTCAGTCCCAATATCATCTTCAACTACACATTTGGTTGTTGTTATGAGCCAATCAGTAAGTATTTTTGGGCTATTTTCTAGGTATCAAGCACTTCAGCCACAAGGACTAAAGAAGAAATATAAAACTTAATCCAGAGATCAAGGAAATACGGTTGGGATTCTGCCCTCAGTCTTCTTTGTTTTCTCTCGTATTGGTGGTCTCCATCCAGCAACTATTATGTCCACGTAAATGGGCTCCAGATCTAAATCACCAATCCAGGTCTGCAATCTGAGCTCTAGAAACATACTCCAGCCACTGCCAGGACAGCTCTATTATAATATATAGTCTCACTCTCCCAAAGCCTGACATATCCAAAATCAAATTCATCCATCAATCTCACTTCTCCTCCACTCTTCCCAAACCCATCCATATTCCAAAGCTTCACATCTTTCTGTCTACAATGATCTTCTACTCTCCCTCTAATCAGTGTCTCACTATTCATTAAGACAACTCAGATCTCATGTTTTCTATTTATAAAATGTCTAGGTGCAATGGAGCAGTCTTCTGAACCTACATTCTTTAGGGTCCAGATGAATGGCCACTTCCCAGGTGAAGTCTCCCATCACCCCTCCTAGGAAAAAGGACTTTTCCTTCCTCTGGGCTCCCAGAGCACTTAATCTGAAACTTCCTTTTAGCCCTTTCTACATTCATCTCCATTTCAAATGCAAGTCTCTAATGTCTCTGTACTTCTGAAATATTCCTACTTCCCAATACATTTAATAATTGTACCTCCACCAGAAAAAAATCCTGCCGTCCTAAATTCCCCCTTTTTTGAACTGACTAGTGCCTTTTTATGGATTTCTCATCTAATAGTAACAGATCATACTTCCAGCTTCCTGGTAGTTACTACATCCTCACTCGGTTATGTTAACGTCTATGTTATTGAAACACTCTATTAAATGGTGTGGGTACTTCTAGGTGATGAGAGAAGACATCATTGTGCTTCACAAAGGGTATGACTTTAGAGTCAAATAGATGTGCATTTGATTTGGGTTCTATACTTATTAGATGCCTGAACTTGAGCAAGCCACTTAACTTTTATGAGCCTCAGATTCCCCATTTGTCAGTGGAAGGGTAGCACTTACTTCAAAAGTTTCATACTGTGCTCTTTCCCTCCTCCACGAGTCTGCACAGGCCATGCCTTCAGCTTAATTCTCTCACCCACTTTTTGCTGGCAAGGCTTCTGATTCTTCAGGCCTCAACTTAGATGCTACATGCCTTAGGAATTCCCCCAGCCCTCAAAGACCAGGGCAGTTGTCTTTTCCATGTGCTCACTGCCCAAGGTCTTGGCACTTAGTCCTTGAATTGCAGTCATTTGTTTCTTGCTCTTTCTTTCCCTCTTTGAGGAACTGTTACCTCTGTTGAGGACAGGGACCATGATTTGTTAATTGTCACATACCATCTTTGTCCTACTTCATCCACTTTTGATCCAACCAAAAAAAAAAAGTCAGAAAAAGTAAGCCACCTCAGCTAAGGAATTCATAATTCTGAAATTCTGAAGAAAATGTCAATTTCTCACTAAGGGCTTATTACCTGAATGCATTGCAACATTTCAGCTCTTCAAAACGCTGGCTCCATTCTTGCACTGTGTTAGGCACTGGGCAATAATTTGCTTTTGGTACAGAAATTGAGTGATGTGTCTTCTGAACTGATGTTAAAACCCAATAGTTTCCAATTTCATAAGATTTAAAGCCAGTTTTGTACGTGTGAAATTACCCAAATCACCAAAAGAATTAATTTTCTTAGGAGATTCTCATCAGTAAAAGCAATTTCCACAGTTTGTTTGGCACCCCTAGTGGTAAATATTTTATTTTAAAAACTCAGCCACATATAAATTTACTATAACAATTTAGGCACTTTGTCATAAATAAAAGCAATGATAACTATGGTGCTATCTTCTATTTACTTCAAATGCCACTTCTGAAGTGTATATTTATAGTACATGGTAATTCAAAGAGGAAGCTCCAGGGTCAGATGGATCAGGTTCCATTCCCATCCCTGACATTCACTAGCTGTGTGATCTTGGGAAAGTTATTTCATTCCTCTGTGACTCAGTTTCTTAGTCTATAGAATAGCAATAATAGCCTCTGCATTATAGAGTTATTGTATGGCTTAAATGAGCTAATACATGTAAGGGCTTATAACAGTGCCTAGCACCTGTTATAAACACTCTATTGTTATTTGCCAGGGGTGAATCAAATATAAGAAGAGTGTTTGGATATGATTACCTTTAAACTCCCTGCTGATCCTGAGGTTCTATGTCTCTATATCATTCCAATCCCTCAGCATTCCATTCAGTAGGGAGGGGGCAGCATTATCCACATTTTACAAACAGTAAAATTGAGCCATACAGAAGCAAAATGTCCAGTAAGCAAGTGGAAGACTGAAACTAGGACTCAGGTTTTTAGATGTAAGTATTATGACTCTTTCCGGGAGGCTGTGTGCCTGTACATTTAAAAGCGAATGTTAGATATCCCTTATGAGCCTGTGAGCAGTGACCCCTTGATGTTCCTTCTCTGCCAAGGTTCTCCATAAATGTGCATCAAGGTCACTTCTGTCTCTACCTCTGAGATGATCTCAGGCCATATCTTTTCGGATAGTTTTCTTGCTAGCTTTAAAAAAAGCTATATTGTAGAATTGGATGAAGGGCCAGCTGCCTGTATTCTCTGCCTCTTTAGGCATTCCCATGCCTAGGTCGTGCTACGTATATACATACTTCACTTGGCTGCAGACCCTGACTTTTTGGAGGGTTTCTTCTGCTGAGCGAGGACCTCAAACCACTTGAGAACTCCACAACTGACCTTATTCCAAAACATTCTATCCCAACCACTCGCCCATCCCATTCCACCCTGGATTTCTCCTACAATCATGGGCAAAGGATCTGCAAAAGCTTCCATCCTTCCCCTTTCTCTTCCTCTCTGGGTTGGTCAGAGGGAATCCTCTGTCTTCTTCAGGACCCTGGCTATGCAGAGGCAGCCCCAAGAGTTGGGTGCGGGGAGTATTCCTGAGCCTGAATCTGGACTGTTTAAGAGGATTTAGGATGCTTTTCTTTTCTGTCCACTAGGGGGCTGCTTGTAGGGGGATGGAAAAAACGGAGGCTTAAAAAAAATCATGCTGCTGAAATTTCAGCAAGAGGGGAAAAGAGAGAGCGCGTGAGAGAGAGAGAGAGAGAGAGAGAGAGAGAGAGAGAGAGAGAGAGACAGCAAAGCAGTCCCAGGCTTCCTCCTCTCTTTCACGTCAGAGGCAGGAACCGACTGTGCTAAGGCTGTTGGCTCAACACGCAGAGGAGACAGGGGCAGACCCAGGGAGAGTGAGAGAAGGGGGTCCTCTCTGACCCAAGGAATTACCACTAGTGGAGTGAAGCCACCTGACTTTTTGATCTTATTTTGGTTACCTCCTCATTCTCCTTCCACCCGTAGCCCTGACAGCTTGGGTTTCATTTCTTTCGTGAAGCCTTGTCTCTTCCTCCTAGAAAAGGAGGAACGGAAGAGAAGGGAAAGAGGTGGGCTCTCTAGGTGAGCGCATCAGCTGGCTTCAACCTGAGCAGACAAGAATTTTCTTCCCAGGAAGCTCCTCTCGCTCCCCGGCCGCCCACCCCCAGCCTGGGTAAGTCCGGAGCACTCGCTCCTTTGATTTTCTCGCTAACGTGATTTCAGCACCAAGGAGAGCTATGAGATGCATTTTGGTTCCTGGGTGTCTGTGTGTTCCTGCAAGGCATTTGGCACTAAGGTTACATCTATTTCTCTGCTGCCAGTAGAGTCGGGTACTGCGTAGGGAAAAGAAAGGCGCAAAACTATGCTTACCGAATTAAAGGGGGATGTGGGCTCTGGCCTTGCGGGTGTGTGTTTGTGTGTGTGTGTATGTGTGTGTGTACTGTTGCATAAGACAGGTGAGGTCTGAGCTAAATTGTCGGTGGTTTCTGCGTGTCTCCATGTAGGGCTGTTCTTTTTGTCTGTAGATAAGCGAGAGGGTTTGGGGAATTAGTCGTGCACCTTCTTTAACTCTCTCCCGACAAGCCATCCATGGTGGGAAAGAGTTGCAAAGGAAGCCTGGGGGGTTGGGAGTGGAGGTAGAGCTAAAAGTTATGCACCTCTGAAAGAGCTTTAAAGAGGTGGTTTGTAAAATGTCAGTTTCCTAGGATTCTCTGGGCTCTTGCTGTGTAGAGAGAGCAACCTGACCTTTTACTTTCTCTCCTGGTGTGAACCCATGGCAAGTGGGCAGGTGCAACAGGTGAAGCTCAGGCTGGGGCGGCTTTGGGGGGCTGAGGTCCCTTCTGACTTTATGGTTGTAGGAAAGTGCTAGTGTCTTGAGCTTTGCAGAGATTGGCTGATGTGGGTTATATTACATTTGCAAGGAGGCAGGAGGTACCCTCCACTTTTCTGTCATCCTTGGCTATGGGTGGTTGGAAAGAGGACAAAATCTGTTCTGCCCTGTTTTCTGGGGCATCTGGTAGTGAAAAACAACTAAGAAGAAAGGTTTGTCTCTATATGTCTAGGGCAAGCAGAAACAAACTTAGACTTGTCCCAGACTCAGGAGGGCTTCAAGAGGTACTCTGTTCTCCTTCAGCACTGAGAGGCTCTGCAAACAGTAGCTCATTATTACTTCATTCTTCACTGCTACTACTTTTTTGCAAGGTATTACTCTATCTCTCCTGCTTTCTGCCTCTCTGAAGTATGTTCAGTCAATTTCCTGCATCTGCTTTGGTATTGTCTTGGAGACAGTATATGCCTGCCCCTGCCCCATTCAGTCCTGGCCACGCCTACCTGGTTGAGTCATTCAACAAGTGGTGCTGAGGATTTCCTTCAATCATTCAAGTCTCCGTGGAGCCAGCATCCTACAGGGAACTTGAAAGAGATGTGGCTTGTTGTAGGAGCAAGTTTTCCCTTGATTTGACCCCTAACTATTTATGGTTCTGGTCACTTTCTTCAAGTGTGTTGAGACAGGGGAGATACATATGCAGGGTGGGGTGGTTTCACTCTTTCCAACCCCAAATGAACCCTAGAATGGTGATTCTTTGTCTTATTTTTAATTCAGCACCATGAGCCCCTTCTCCAAGATGAAGAAAATGCCCTCCACCTCTGGCTGGGAGCCTTCTGGGTGAGAGACATAGTTCTGAGTGAAATGGCACCACTTTTCTTTTTTTACTATGCTTGGCATTGGATCCAGAAATCTTAGCATCTCCCTAGAATGGCAGGAAGTAGAATGCATCCAGGAAGAGAGTGAAGTCAGAGGTTGTAAGGGTAGGGAAGAAAGACTGAAATAGATAAATGCAGAGCATCAGAAACCAACACTGACTCATTCAATATTTTAACACTCCAAACCCTCCAGTCCTTGAAATCTTCTGGTTTGAACAAGTGAGTGGATGGATTTCTGCATGGCACATCCATAAGGATTTTTTTAAAATTATGCCCTTGCAGTGGACCCTGTCCAAAACCACTGTTTATTACTGAAGTCACCATACTTAGTGGTCGTTATCTTATTAATGCTCTTAAATTCTCTGAAAAAAAAAAAGTGCTCAGTGACATTATTGGAACCATTTTATGAATGGAGAGACAGATGCTTAAAGTGGGAGGCCAGAGGATAGCAAAAGCGGAAATAGAACTTCTAACCTGCTAATATTCCCTCACCTAGGAAATGCAGTAATGCTCATGTGCAGGAGAGAAGGAATGAATTGCTCCCCAATGGATAGACTTGCAGCCAGAGCCTTTTAGGGAACTCAGTGTGGAGCAATGGCCTCTCTCTGGTGAAGAATGAGAATCAGTCAGAAGTCTCAAGGTGCTGCTGGCCTTTACTTCTCAGCTAATAAGATGGCCAAGAGTCAGGTAAAGAGCTCTCTGGGCTTACTGCAAAGAGACAACCCTGGGCTGGTGGCATCTAGGCTGAACTGATGTCATGCACCTGATTGCCACATCACCATGCCCCAGAGGTCCCAGCTGAAGCCACCCTATCTGGGGCATGTTGCCATAGATGTCTTGGCTTTGGGTGTTGGGTGACTGTTCTCTCTATGAACCTTTTCTGGGACCACCTTCACTGAGTCCTCTGTGGCTCTGAATGTGGCAAGGATGACTAAGGAGCAGGAGAGAACTGGGCTCTGACCACGTATAGAACCACTAGAAGAGGAGTGGGAAAGTGGATGCAAACTCACTTTACGTATAATGCCACTTCTGCAGCATTCCTGGCTGTCACATCTGGCCAGCAATCTGGAGACAAAGTAAGTTCTCATGCCCAACCCCACTTCACTGTGCAGGGGAGACTGCTGGGCTGCCCCCCAGGACTGGGGAGATGAGGAGTGGTGGGGAAAGATGGAAGGAGGAGGTCAGCTGCTCTGCCCTATTCTCCATGGCTATAGGTTGCCATCTTTTACCTGGAAAGGGCCGCTATTACTTTTTTTGTTGTTGAAAAAATGATGTGTAATTTGTATATAATAAAATGCGCTGATCTTAAGTATTCAGATTAAGTTTTGACAATTGTGTACACTTGAGTACCCCAAAAAAGATGCACAAAAGTTCTCTGTGCTTCTTTCCAATTTTTCCCTCTCCCAACCCCATCACTTTCTGACTTCTATCAACATACCTTACGCTGCTACATTTTGCAGTGGAAATGTATTGCTGAATGTATTACTTAATAGATGTGGTATGTAAACCCTAGACTTTCCAGAGAACACCTCAGAGTTCTGAGGCTATTGTTACTGGGTAAGTAGCAAAGATGTGGGAGGGGTACATTCTGCACCCCAGCCTTAAGGTCATGGTGTTAGAAAGCCAAGTGGTCATTTCAACCGTTTATAGAAACCAACAATCAAATGTGAATAGAAACTGTAGAAGCTCCTGCAGGCAACTGCCTCAGAGCTGACCTGAGTTATTTGATGGAGTTCATAGAGATGATTTTGAAATTTTTATTAAAAACTTAGAATTCAATATTCCAAGTTGGTGGCTGGTCATGAATCTTCCCATCTGGGCTCCGGGAGAGTGAGCTGAGGAAAGAGTATCTATGTGAGCTTAGTAAAGAAAGAAAGAGGAGAGTTCATTGTGATAGAGCTTATGCCATGAAATTCATCCCTATCCACAAAGGTCATGGTGGAGGAGGGTGCTGTTTCTGTTTATTTAAGAGTAAATTTAGAACCAGAAGCCACTTACAGAAACTCATGTACCAACATAGCTCTATCCAGGGATGTCTGCATTCACCCTGCTCCCATCCCTGGGTTATGGGCTGGATAAGGTATTACTCTTCTGCATTTTACCATTAAGAACTAATGGAGTTATCAGAAGGTTTAGTAACTTTGGTGAATGTGTGTTTGTGTGTGTGTGCATGTGTGGTATCAGCACACGTGTACAAACATATATAACCAGTTTGGACACGTTGCCTGTCCAATTCTATTCTACTCTGTCCCTCATTTAAGGGCCACTGGATAAAGATGGGGAATTTTGTGCACCATTTGTACATAGGGTCTTCCACAAGGAAATCAGAGTTTCTGGATTAGAATCTTTAGTAGAGCTTAAAATGTGTCCAGGTAGGTCACAGACCTGTTTACATGTTCAGAGGGTGCTCATGTCCTCTGCCTCCCTCCATTTGGAGACCTTACTATAGCACCTTCTTCCAGGGTTTTGCCCCTTTCTGGGGTCACCTGCCTTTGAGAATGCACTCAATGCATCCAGCCAGCTCTTTTAGGGGAAGGCTCCTGAATCATCTCTGCCAGCTGGGATCCCACAGAGTAAAGTGTTGGTTGCTAAACCACCATGTCATGGAAAGTTAGAAGACAGCCAAAGTGAGGACTCCCTAATATGGAAATACAAAGTTGAATGATATCCACAAGCCAATTCCAGTAGATGATTTGGCAGAAGTGCAGAGATACACTTTTGCCTCATTTTGATTATGGGCTATGCTAATAAAGATGAGATTTCCTACCTACTAGAGTTTCATCTTCTTAAGAGACAGTCCAGTGGGGAAGGTGGAATTGGAATGAGGTTGTTCAAAAACTATTTCCGATCACATGTAAGAACCACTGTATCTTTGCCTTGGAAACATGACTTTGAATTACAACTGTATTGGTAAATTTTGAACACATCAAGCTAATAATATGCCAGTTGGCAAAGGGAATTCAAGCAACCTTGTTTTTGTTTTCTCTTTCCCTCCTTTTTAAAAATATAGTTCAGTGACACTAAGTACATTTACATTGTATGCAACCATCATCACCATCATCCATTTTCAGAACTTTCTCATTTTTCCAAATGGAAACTCTGTACACATTAAATGCTAATTCTCCATTTCCTCCCCCACCCAGCCCTTGGCAACTTCTACTTCCTATCTCTATGAACCTGACTATCCTAGGTACTACATGTAAGTGAAATCATACACTATTTGTCCTTTTGTAGCCAGTTCATTTTATTTAGCATAATGTCCTCAAGGTTCATCCATGTTATAGCATGTCAGAACTTCCTTCCTTTTTATAACTAAATAATATTCGACTGTATGTATGTACCACATTTTGTTTATTCATCCATCCATCAATGGATGCTTGCATTGTTTCCTATTCCCCTCCTTTAATTCTTGCCAATTGCCTCTGCTTTACTCTCCAATCAAGTAAGAAAAGGAAACTTTCTTGTTATGAC